TGAGGGAAAAATAACTCCTGTATTTTAAGAAACCATCTTCAACAGATGCTCTAAACTCATTCGGGATTATTTTCTAACACAATATTAGAGTAACACAATAACTCACTCACGGTGGGCATACAGTATAGTTTTCAGGTATGAGACATGTCAAATCCATCAACTTTGGGGAACCACAGTAGTGAAAGGGCATTTTCAATGAAGAAGAATCATTGTACCATTTAAAAGGCTTGGGCTGCACTTCTCCAACCCCTCATATCTTCAAGAGTAAGGATGATTATAGGCTGTCCTGGTAAATTGGCTCTTGAGGGGCAGGGGCTGGGAGAGCTCTGATTTGTACATTTGCCCATTCTCTAATTTAAGTGGTCCCGTCATGGCTGGTTTCAGTCTACTGACCGACATGGAGTCACTGAATGAGTCACTATAAGCTGCCTCCTGTATACCACACAGTATATTGGAGTATGTATATGATACTATAAGGTTTATTAGGAACTGAAAATATATTACATCTACTCAGGACTTTTTTATTATATTTATTTATTATTTATTTATTTACAATCTTGTTCTGTTGCCTGGGCTGGAGTGCAGTGGTGTCAGCCTAGCTCACAGCAACCTCAACTCCTGGGCTCAAGTGATCCTCCTGCCTCAGCCTCCCAAGTAGCTAGGACTACAGGCATGCACCACCACGCCTGGCTAGTTTTTTCTATGTTTAGTAGGGACGGGGTCTCATTGTTGTTCAGGCTGGTCTTGAACTCCTGAGCTCAAGCAATCCTCATGCCTTGGCCTCCCAGAGTGCTAGGATTACAGGCATGAGCCACCATTCCTGGCCTAAATCTACTAAGGATTTTAAGTCAGTGACATATAGCCCAATGCCCAGCTCAGAGAATGCCTGTTCCTTCCTCCTGCTTTCATTCCCCATTTATTCCTCCTGGAACCATAATTCCTGTCTTTGACATTGCATGGACGCTCATAATTTAAAGTAACTTCTCTATACTTTTCACTTCCAAATTGATCTCTCTAGCCCTCACTTCTTTGAGTTCCAAACCCATATTCCAAAATGCCTAATATGTACTGCAACCTCAATGATCAAAACTGAAATACTCTTCATCATCCTTTCCTTATCTTGGTTGACAATGACAACAAGAGTCAACATTTGCTGAGTCCTTACTATGTGCCTGCTTTTCTAAGCCTTTAGATACATTTTTTTTTTTTTGAGACAGAGCCTTGCTCTGTCACCTGGGCTAGAGTGCCATGGTGTCAGCCTAGCTCACAGCAACCTCAAACTCCTGGACTCAAGGAATCCTCCTGCCTCAGCCTCTCCAGTAGCTGGGACTATAGGCATGTGCCACCATGCCTGGCTGATCTTTTCTATTTTTGGTAGAGACAGAGTCTCCCTCTTGCTCAGGCTGGTGTGCAACAAAAGCAAAAATAGATAAATGGAATTGTATCTCTAAAAGCTGTATAACAAAGGAAATAATCGCCAGAGTTAAGAGAGAGAAAACCTACAGAATGGGAAAATATATTTGCAAACCATACATCTGATAACGGGTTAATATCCAAAACATGTATGGAACTCAAATAACTCAATAGAATGAAAACAAATAACCTGACTAAAAACGAGCAAATGACCTAAACAGACATTTCTTAAAGAAGATATACAAATGGCCAACCAGTATATAAAAAATGCTTACCATCATTAATCATCAGAGAAATGCAAATTAAAACCACAATGAGATATCATCTCACATCTTTAGAATGGCTATAACATCAAAAAAGCAAAAGATATCACGTGTTGGCAAGGATATAGAGAAAAGGAACCCTTGTACACTGTTGGTGGGGATGTATATTAGTACAGCCATTATGGAAAACAGTATGGAGGTTCCTCAAAATATTAAAAATAGAACTACTATTTAATCCAGAGATCTCAGTTCTGGGTATATATCCAAAGGAAATGAAATTAGTACGTTGAAGAGATAGCTGTACTCCCATGTTCATTTTAGCACCATTCACAATAGCCAGTCATAAAACCAACCATAGTATCCATCAACAGATGAATAAAGAAAAAGTGGTATATGTACAAAGTTGAATATTATTCAGCCTTCAAAAGGAAGGAAATCCTGTCATTTGTGAGAATATGGGCAAACCTGGGGGACACTATGTTAAGTGACATAAACTAGGCACAGAAGGACAAATACTGCAAGGGTGCCAGCCACAGAGGAACAACCATGGTAGGACAAAGCAGCAAGAGAGCAGCCATCTGAAAGCCAAGGGCAGAGGCCTCTGAGGAAACCAACCTTTCTAGCACCTTGACCTTGGAATTCTAACTCTAAAACAGTTCCAGTTTTTTAGAACTGTGAGAAAACAAATGTCTGTTATTTAAGCCATCCAGACTGTAAGTATTTTGTTATAGCAGCCTTAGCAAACTAAGACAGCATCTTTACTTCATCAGTAAACTCAGACATCGGCTGGGCTCAGTGGCTCACACCTGTAATCCTAGCACTTTGGGAGGCTAAGGCAGGAGGACTGCTCGAGGTCAGGAGTTTGCGACCAGCCTGAGCAAGAGTAAGACTGGTCTCTACTAAAAATAGAAAAATTAGCCAGGCGTGATGGCGTGTGCCTATAGTCCCAGCTACTCGGGAGGCTGAGGCAGGAGAACCACTTGAGCCCAGGAGCTGGAGGTTGCTGTGAGCTAGGCTGACACCACGGCACTCTAGTCCAGGTGAGAGAGCAACACTCCCTCTCAAAAAAAAAAAAAAAAAATCACCTCAGACATCATTCTGCATACTAGGCACAACTCCTCTGAGTTCTTTACAAATGTTTAAACATTTAAACACCTCCCCACTAATGTCAGTGAGTCACTATAGTTGCATTTCTTAATGGGTAGGAGAGGAGAAGAGTTTACCCCCTTCCTCCTGGGATGGGAGCTAGGAAAGCAAAACCAATATAGTTGGCCGGGGAAATACCTCTATGAGACATGCCTCTGTCCTTAGGTGGGTGTCAGAGGTAGAGATGGAAATGATTAGTAACAACAACATAGTACAATCTTAGCTGCCATTAATTAAGTACTTATTGGACATAGGCAAGTACCAGACATATTACAAGAATTCTCTCTCATTTCATCCCCACAGCAACCTTAAGATTTAGGTAATATTTTTCATTCTCTTTATTTTACAGAGGAGAAAACACGGTTTGGAAAGGGCAAGCCAATGCCCAGCTGGTGAGAAGAATCAAGATTCAGATCTAGATCTGACCAATTCCAGATCTGAACCTTTTGCCACTCTGCACACTGCCTAGGGAAGACAACAGGGGTGGCTTAGCTGGAGATGTGGAGGTGAGGGCTTGAATAGGAGAAGGAATTTAGTCTTAATACAGGAGATTGATGGGGAGCAGCAAGTTAATATTTTGAAAAGAAAAGGTAGTAGAGAGAATCTAAGAGCCTGAACAATTACAAATGCCAAAACAATAGCTCTCATTTACTTAGCTCATCCTACATGTGAGGCATTAAACTTAGAACTCAGAATAATTCTAAGAAGCAGATATTTTTGCATTTTCATTGTGCAAACTTGGAAATTGAAGTTCAGGGAAGCAGAAAGATCTGCGCAAGGCTCAAGTAAGTGGTGGAACCGGAGTGGCAGAGCTGGGAGGCTCCCAATCCTGCACTCGCCCCAGCTTGTCTACTCTGCTTTGGGGTGCAGCAACAATCTCTGTGCCTACACTGCACGTATGGCCAGCGGATGTATGAGGGCCTCCACACTCTGAACAGACAAGTTACATATCACACCACAGTCTTTACCAAGATTCAGCCTGAACTATTAACATAGAACAGCTTTGTCCAAGAACTTTCCAAGGAGCCTTAGTTTCCCAAGTTGCTCCATGGAAAAAAGTTATGTGATCAGAAAAGTTTGGAAGTGCTGCCTGTTATCCCTCTCCTGCCTGAGAGGCTTATAGTGCACATTAGCAGATTCTAAAGGGCCTGAGAAGCTCTGCAGTAACAAATCTGTTTCCTTCACTTAGGCAATGTATTCGAGCTGCAGAATTGTTTTTCTACATGTGGCAGTTAATATGCTGTGCCTCACCCTTTTAGAGATACTGCAATGTAAGACTGAAGAGGAAGAAAGAGAAGCATACTGGAACTATTTTCTGAAACCAACTAAAATGCAGACTTTTTTCTCCTTAAGAATTATCCAGCACTTTGTTGTTGACATTTAGTTTGCTTTCTACTGAGAACATATGCAGTTTTAAAAGAGAGAGAGAGAGAGAGAGAGAGGGAGAGAGAGAGAGAGAGAGAGAGAGAGAGAGAGAGAGAGAGGCACAATAAATCAGGAGGGAAGGGCTATGTGCATTTCCAACGCTCTTGGCTCATTCTGCACCTTTTTTTTTTTTTGCTTCCACTCCAAATCAGCCCCAACCCCATTTTCTTCTCCAAGTTTCCTTCCACCCGACTTCCTCTCTTTGGGGCTGCTCTCCAGCTACATACAGCTGAAAGTGACCGCAACTTGCAAAGCACCATCGCCCTCCCCCCCCCCCCCCCCCCACTGCAATGCAGAAGCAGTTACAGGGAGACACCAGGTACAGCCAGAGCTGGCAGATTTCAGAAAAAAAAACGCCTTCCCTGAGAGATAAGGATCTTTCTACCTGTAGGTTAGCCAGTACTCTAAAGACACGGGGGGGGGGGGGGGTGCGAAGGTGGGAGTGGGGGGGAGACTGCCGATATTTCCATTAAAATTTCCAGATTAATGTGTGGCTTTTTTTTCTATGTCTCTTGTTTGCTTATTTCCAGTCTGTGAATTTCTAACAACGCAGCGTGTTAAAAAGGAGCGGGAGGAGGAGGAAATAACATCTCTGGAGGGGGCTACCTAAACCCACCTAGTAAATTACATCAGCTTTTATATCCCTAAGTATCTCCCAGCACCTGGGGCAGAAGCTCCGCGCTGCAAGGTCCCCACGGCAGCGCCGCCTCCCCGGTCGCCCCCAGCCGGAGCCGCGCCCCGGGCGGCCCTTACCCACGCGGAAGATCAGGTCGTCCTCGATGGGGTTCTCTTTTCGCTTGCCGGTGCTGTACATGCTCGCGGGCCTCTTCACCGCCTTCTGCTTCACGTGGCCGCTGCCGGGGGACTTGACGCGCCGCTTCACGCCCTCGGTGGTGGGCGACACGTCGGCCGAGCGGATCACTTTCAGCTTGAACGGGCTGCCGCGGATGTGCTGGTCGTAGAGCCGCAGCGACAGCGTGAAGTCCCCCTCCTTCTGCACGGTGTACAGGAACTCGTAGGTGCCGTTCTTGTTGTCCAGGATCTCCCCGTCCGCCACGCTGCCGTCGGGCGTGCTCAGCTCCGCCGTGAGGTAGGCGTTGCCGGTTTTGCACAGCTCGCCGTCTTTGTCCTTGGTCGTTATGGTGACGGACATGGGCTGCCCGATGATGGTCTGCCGCAGCCCCTCGCCGGTGGCCACGGTCTCCGAGGCGACGGCGTTGGTGGTTAGGATGGTCCCCAGGTTGTGGATGGACTTCTTCAGGCCCTCGGTCTCCACGACGAAGTCCAGCTGGTCGTTCTCCCGCGGGTGCAGCGGGAAGTCCTGGTCGGCCAGCTCGTTCAGCTTCTCGCTCATCTGCTTCTTCACCAGCAGCACCTCGGTCTCCGTGCCGTGGTTGAGGGCCTGCGCCGTGAAGCTGCTGCAGCTCTTGATGCTCTCCTGCCCCTGCAGCAGGGTGTCCAGCTGCGACTGCAGGACCTGCGGGAAACCGAGGCCGGGTGAGCGCTGCCTGCCTTCCCACGGGGCGGGGGCCCAGCCCTGGGCCGCGTCCTCCCCGCGCCTGCCCACGCAGGCAAAACCCAGCGAACCCAGTGCTAACGCGCCGTCCCAGACTGCATTCCCAATTCCCTGGCCCGGTCGCCCCTGCCGCCCTGCCTGGTCCCTCCCACACTTGTTACTTCTCGGGTCACGTGCTTTGGATCGGGACAAACAGAAACCTCATGTGTTTCTTGGCTCGTGTGTTTTGGATGGAGGCAAACTGAAATGCCATTGACAAGTGCTGGCAAACGAATCGCTGTGCCTGACATCTGAAATATTCATTATTCTCTACTTTTCTCTATTGGACAAAGCTCCACGGTCACCACCTAAGGAACAGAAACTAAACGAATTTTTTTAAAACTCTCCACACCTGACCGGCATTAAGATTTTCATCCGGCATAAAATTTTCATCTGGGGTTTTGAGACTGCAGAGTTAAACAAAGGCAGCAGCCAGTGTTCATTTTGAAGTTGACTAACAGGTTGGTGTAGATCAGAGAGCAATTAAGAGACTATATCACATTATAATTGAGGAAGGGAAACAATCCAGTTTAACCCAGAATCCTCAAAGTATTATTCAGCCTTGCCTTTTGTAAAATAATGAACTGGCACTTAAGGTCACAGAATCATAGAGTTTTGCTGAAAACAGAAAGAAAGAAAAAAAAAAAGCTGGATATTCCATTAAGTGAAAAATAGTTTACTGTACAATGGTGACACTTAGAGACCCATTTCTGGAGGGTGCCTGGAGTCTTACTTTGTGTTTGAGGCCATAGTTGACTTCCAGTTCCATAAGCAGCACACTCTTGCGCACGTTTAAAGTCTTCTGCAGCTCATCGAAGGTGGAATGGATGTCATCCACAATGCTGGCCTTTTGGTTGGTTAACTGATGAATGATTTCTGAGATGAACTGAAGAGCAGAATCTATTTCTGGGAGCCTGAAGGGACAGTTGTTACAGATGATGGTTTAACCTCAACCCAGAAATATTCCAAAATCTATCCAAACACTATATTTTCTCAAAAAAATTTTTTTCTATGCCTTTCATCATCTTTAAAAAGAGTAATAACCAAAGAACAGAATGAATAACACATGCAATAATTACTTCTTTTGAGATAAGAGACTTTGAGGGTCTACATCTATTTCAAACTATCTTCCATCATCTAATTTGAATAATTGATGGGACAAAGACTTGAAGCTCTCTGAAAAGCCATTCTGGCCAGATAATTCTTTGTTGCAGGGGGCTGTCAGTGCATTGGAGGATGTTTAACAGCAGCTTGTCCTTTACCAGATGCCAATAGCACGCCAGCACACAGTTGTGACACCAAATATATCTGCAGGCATTGCCAAATGTCCCCTAAGGGGCATAATTGCCCATGCTTGAGAACCACTATTCTAGATGCATAGCTGTAACATTTTCCCCAGCCACATAAAAAGCTTTTCCAAACTCAGAGTTTCCTGGGAACTTCTCCTATGTTTCCAAGTTCTTTTAATTAGTATAGCATAACCACTGTTCTCACTGGGTATCAGTGAAGAGATTTTTCTTTTTTTTCAGCTGGCTATTTCCTGCCTTTGGTCTTTGTCCCACTGCTACTCTGTTCCTTCATTTCCATGCCAGGAGGCTAGAAGCAGAAAAACATAAGGGAAATTGGGCAATCGCTGTTCAAGACTATCGCTGCTCAAGACTTGCAGGGCTCAAACAGAAGGGAGGCGCCGACACAGTGGGCCTGTGAGTCAGGAATAGCAGCTAAGGAAGGCTCTTCAGGCATGAAATCAGAGAGCTCCTGAGAGCATTTTCTTTGAGTGTACTTAATTCATTGAATCAAACTAAGGTACTAAAACGAAAATGCCACCCCTTGTAACATAAGGAGGCTGGAATTTTACCAAGGGGCAGGGAACACTCACTAGTTATGACGACAGACCCATGATCAAAGGAGAACGTATTCGTGACACACAGCCTGACACCTCAAGGATAACACGAATCTACCACTGCACTAACACAAGAGACCAGGAGGCCAGGCCTTGTGCACAGACAACCACTGGGGAGGTGGGGGAGGGGGGAGGTGGGGGAGGGGTGCCGCACCTTTTGTTGACAGCATCCAGCTGGACCTGGAGCGAGGCCTTGTGCTGCTCCACCACGTCCTTGAGCGGGACAGTGGGGTGCTCTGCGTGCTCCCCCTCGGTGCACTCACGACACATGGCGGTCTCACAGGACTGGCAGTAAAATTCCATCACCTGCAGGTAACACAAGGAAAGTTACTGGTTCTGGGCCACGGTTGAGTGCTTTCTCTGCACTTTCCTTGCATTCTGTCATTCAATTCTCAAGGCCACCCCAGGATGTCATCATTATTGTGCCCAGCTTCACAGGAGAAAAGGAAGGATAAATTTTTACATGACCGGTCAAAAAGAGGTGCAGCAGACTCCAAAGATGCTACTAAGAGCATAAAACCAGCTTTTTGGTGACCAACTCCCCAAGGCAGAACCATGTAGGACTATGGTTCTCAGGACGTTTTGGTCTCAGGACCCCTTTATATTCTTTGTAAATTACTGAGGACTCCAAAAGAGCTTTTGTGCATGTGGGTTATATCTATAGATATTTGCCACATTAAAAATTGGAACTGAGCCTGTAATCCTAGCTCTTGGGAGGCCGAGGCGGGCGGATTGCTCAAGGTCAGGAGTTCAAAACCAGCCTGAGCAAGAGCGAGACCCCGTCTCTACTATAAAAAAATAAAAAATATTTAAAAAAAAAAATTGGAACTGAAAAAAAGTTTAAAGTATTTATTGATTTATTAAAAGCAATAATAGGGCCAAACACAGTGGTTCATGCCTGTAATCCTAGCACTCTGGGAGGCTGAGGCAGGAGGATCACTAGAGGTCAAGAGTTTGAGACCAGCGTGAGCAAGAGTGAGACCCTATCTCTACCAAAAACAGAAAAAAATTAGCCGGGCATGGTGGCTTGCACCTGTAGTCCCAACTACTCAGGAGGCTGAGGCAGGAGGATCACTTGAGCCCAGGATTTGGAGGTTGCAATGAGCTATGATCATGTCACTGTAGTGTAGCCTTGGTAACAAAGTAAGGCTCTGTCTCAAAATAAAAAAAGTAATAATAGGCCCATTACAAGTTGATGTGAATAATGTAATTTATGAAAAATAAATACATTTTGCAAAACAAAAAATTTTGTGAGAAGAATGGCATTGTTGTAAACCTCTGCAGTGTCTGGCTTAACAGAAGACAGCTGGATTCTTGTATCTGCTTCTGCATTCAATCTGTTGTGATAGCACACATCATATAGCCTCTAGAAAATTCCATTGTACACTCTTGAGAGAATGAGAGTGAAAAGGGCAAATAATGTCTTCATATGTTTAGGAATATAGGCTTGACCTTGCAAACCCCCTGAAAGGATCTTAGGAGCCACAAGGGTTCCTGGACTACACTTTGAGAACTGCTACTATTTGGATAAGAGTCAAGCTACACTGAGCATTTGCATACTGGCTCTACCCCTTACTGAGCTGAATGACCTTGGGCAAGTTATTCAATCTCACTGTGTCTCAATTTCTGCCTCTGTCAAAAGGAGACAGTAATAGTAACCTAATTTCACAGGGCTGCTATGAGGATCAAGTAGGTTAGTATGCACAAAGAACTCAGATGACACCCGGCACTGGCACATAATAAGTTCTTAGTAAGCAGTAGCTGCTCTGATGATGATGATTATGATGACATCATCCACTTACCTAAAAATAAAACCGCCTTATCCCAGTTATGATGGACTCTCAGTAACAATATAACATAAAGCCACAAAATTAACTTCCTTGTAAAGGCATCCCCCTATTCTCTTTGATGGAAGTAACATCTTCCAATTTTGAATTTCCAAAGCACTTTTCTTGACATATAACACACACACACAGAAAAGAGCATAATGCAGCTTGTTGGATTTTTCACAAGGTGAATGCACCCACCAAAGCACTTTTATTGATATGCCACTTATAAAATATTTATACGATTTTAAGTTCCTGAGCACAGGAACTCTCCCACTCAGAGCCTAGATAATATCATGCACTTAGCAGGTATTAATAACACTGCTGAGTGAATGAATGAGAGGAGGCTTAACCATGACTTGGGTGGCAAGTGTAAGGACAACCAAAAGGACACCTTGTTTCTCATTAAGACTCACTATTTTACGTAGAGTTTCTGGGGCTCAGTCTCCTAGGAAAAAAGCACTCAGTTCACTGATACTACATATGTTTTGGAAACAATCTTTTCTGGTGAACCAAATTCAGATAAAAGTCTCTCAAACCATCTCTAAGATCATTTAAAATTTCATATGGCATCATGGTTTGAAGTAGGCACATAGTAAGTTAGGGGTTTGAAAAAGCACTGTTTTACTTTTGTCATATAAAGATTTAATTCCATGTACTTTACTCCTCTGCTGACCTTTCAGGAATAGGCTTGAAACATCAATTGGGAGTTTCCTTTATCCGTCCTCTGCTCAAAAACACTTCTCTACACATTCCATTGCATTTGCACAATTTGATGCAACCCAGCAGAAGAAAGCTCAGCATATAGAAGCTGTCCAATAATTATCTGCCAAAAGACTACATGAGCTAAGGGATCTCTCCAGTGAGTCAGTGCCCTTGGAGGGGGGACTACTTTGGGTTGCATTTGGGCATTTTGCCACATTGCTTGCCTTCATGTTTTCAATAATTGGAATGATCTAAAACTATATTCAGTATCATATTAAAATTTTCCTATCATAAAGTTTTTATAAATCACTTTTTGGAAAAGTAAATACTTGGTAACAATATATAAGCCCCATGTCATAAATATTTAGTTATTATTTGCAAAAATGCTTAATCCAAAATGTTTCCTGTTTTTCAAAAGGCTGGGGCAAGAGAGGATAACAGAGCATTCTTCACTAAATTCTGAGATTTCCTTTAGAAAAATTTCATCCCCAGGGATCTGTGGAACATAATTCCTGTGAAGGCTGAGGTTCTTTGTTACTTTGGCGTCAGCCAACAGTGGTTCGCTTTTACCAGAACATTTTATTTCTACATTATATATAACTAGGTTAGTATTTAATAATATTCTACCTTCATGGTCAGTGCTTATGAGGTTCCTTTAAAGCACATGTAGCAGAGGAGAGACCAAAAACAGAATGTGAAAAGACTTCAGCCCTCAGGTTACTCAGGGCCCTGGGGCTAATGTAAGTGTCTAGACTGGGGAATATGCCACATTAACCGTGCTTATTCAATCCACTTGCACACTTTCTGAGTCAATAAAGGCTGGGACTGAGTTTCCATATCCTCCTTGGAAGAAGGGAGCCTGGTCTTTGGTCTAGAATGGGTCTAGACCAAAGGCAAATTTTATGTGAGAATCAGTGTCCATACTGTATTTAGAAGTCACAAATACTGTGCTATATTACCTGCATTTTCTGGTCTAAGTTCCCCAGCAGTGTGAGGAATAAGATGACAAAGGATACTCACTGGGGCCAGGCAAAGTGGCTCACACCTATAATCCCAGCACTCTGGGAGGCTGAGGTGGGAGGATCACTTAAGCTCAGGTAGTTTGAGACCACCCTGAGTAAGACCAACACCTCCGGGTGTCTCTACTAAAAATAGAAAAAATTATCCTGGCTTGATGGCGCATGCCTGTAGTCCCAGCTACTGGGAGGCTGAGGCAGGAGGATTGCTTGAGCCCAGGAGTTTGAGGTTGCTGTGAGCTAGGCTGACACCACAGCACTCTAGCCCAGGCAACAAAGTGACACTCTGTATCAAAAAAAAAAAAAAAAGTTTAGGGGTGATGGGTATGTCCAATTATCTTGAGTATACTTATGGTTTCACAAATGTGAAGGCCAGGAGTTCAAGACCAGCCTGGGCAACATAGTGATACCTTGTCTCTACAAAAATAAAATAAAAAAATTAATAATAATAAAAAAGTCAAGCATAGAATTACCGTATGACCCAGAATTTCCACTCCTACATATATACCCAAGAGAACTGAAAACATAGGTCCACACAAAAACGTGTACATGAATATTCATGGCAGCGTTATTCATAACAGCCAAAAAGTATTAACAACCCAAATGTCCATCAATTGATGAATGGATAAATAAATTGTGGTATAGAATGGAATATTATTTAGCCACAAAGAATCCTATATATGCTACCACTTGGATGAACCTTGAAAATATGCTCAGTGATAGGAGTCAGACTCAAAGGCCACAGATTGTATGATTCCATTTCTACCAAATGTCTATAAAAGGCAAATCCGCAGAGACAGCACACAGACGGGTGGTTGCTAGAGGTTAGTGGGAGGGAATGGAGAATGGCTGCTAGGTGGGTGTAGAATTTCTTTTTGGGATGATGAAAATGTTCTGGAATTATTAGATAGTGGCGATTATTTGCCTAACTTTGTAAATATACTAAAAACCACTAATTGTACACTTTAAGACGGTTGAAATATCGAATTTAATGTCATGTGGATTTTACTTCAGAAAACAAAATTGGCTGCAGCTTTGAAGAGACAGCAGCAGACCTGGGTCATTATCCCCCATTTCATGTCTTAAGTGTGTGTTGGGAAGCAAAGATCCTGAAATCATTTTGAAGTGTCAACAGCTAGTCATTCCCAAAGGCTTGTGCTGGAGATCTGACAGCTCTGGCTCAAGCTGAGGGTGTGACTCCTCTGAGCTCCTCCAGCTCCAGCGAGATCACGCTGGTGCTCCCTGGGGAGGGTGGGCAGGCCAGACACCAGGATGAGCTTATTGTTGTTGGCGGGTCACACACCCTTTATGTTCAGCAGAAGAGGAGCCTGGTAGGACCATACGCACTCCTAACATGACAAAGGGCAGGGTCTTGCAGCCATCCCTGAAGCTTCTTGAGGGCACTGACAGTTGATTTCGGTGGGGGAAGTGGGGACTTGTCTCAGTGGCATTCTTAATGAGGACCTCCCCTTTGCACCTCTTAACATCCTGGCTAGTAAGGCACCTACACAAGCACTAACAGGGTTCATTGATTGGTTCCATTCTTGGGACCAGGAGGCATGAGCTCAAATGTCTGCTTTAAGTGCAAAGAATCTCTTAGCTCACTGACCATTATTCCTCTTTTTCTTTTGTATTTGGACAATGCTGCTGTGGCAGTTTAATTAGAAGACAGAGAGTGTCACAGCACTTAAAGATGACACGCTTTCATCTACACGTGCTAATCAGCACCAGGCAGTTAGGATGACAGCACCCTGCTTTATTGTTAATTACTCTATTTTATTAACCTTCAGAAGCTTGGATTGTTTTCAAAGGCTTATCCAACTAACTGCAGCAGTTTATCTGGATATTGCCTGCATTTGGCTTGAACATGCAATGAAGATTTGAAAGCATCAGCAGTGCACTCCTACAATCTATAATCCAACAATGGAATGAGTCAAGACACACATTGCTAATTTTCCAAGCCCTCTTGCTCCCTAATGTTGCACATTTTGATTATGTTTAATTTTTACTATTAATACAAAAATCACAATTAACATTCTTGTATCAAATGTTTATCCTCATCTCTAGCTATTTCCTTAGAAATATTTCTATTAGTGGAATTACTGGATTAAAAGATGAGAAGTTGCATAAAATATTCATTATATTTGCCAAATTGACATAAACTTTCTGAAGAGCAATTTACCCTTCCACTCACAACATATGAAAATGTCTCACCCTATATATCCTTAATAGCACTGGTTATTATCTTTTTTAAAAATTCATAGCCGGGTGCGGTGGCTCACGCCTGTAATCCTAGCACTCTGGGAGGCTGAGGCGGGCGGATTGCTCGAGGTTAGGAGTTCGAAACCAGCCTGAGCAAGAGCGAGACCCTGTCTCTACTATAAATAGAAAGAAATTAATTGGCCAACTAATATATATATATATATATATAAAATTAGCTGGGCATGGTGGTGCATACCTGTAGTCCCAGCTACTTGGGAGGCTGAGGCAGAAGGATTGCTTGAGCCCAGGAGTTTGAGGTTGCTGTGAGCTAGGCTGACGCCACGGCACTCACTCTAGCCTGGGCAACAAGCGAGACTCTGTCTCAAAAAAAAAAACAAAAAAAAAACAGATTCTAGCACATGCCTTTTTATTTGCGGGAAGCAGATTCTCAAGTGAAAGAGTGCCCTCTTCTCTGAAATTTTTCCTCTCTTCTGCAGGCCTATGATGCTATTCTAGTTCTACCTTCTCTCATCTCTCATTTGGACACATCGACAAACTCAGAATTGGTTTCCCAGCCTTTGGTCTCTGCTACTCCATTCCTCCATAATGTCACTCAAATACCCATCTCCTGTTTACAGTGTTTCAATGCTTCTGCATTGCCTAAGGAATTGAGGTCAGATATTTTCTTTTCTTTTCTTTTCTTTTTTTTTTTGAGACAGAGTCTTGCTTTGTTGCCCAGGCTAGAGTGAGTGGCGTCAGCCTAGCTCACAGCAACCTCAAACTCCTGGGCTCAAGCAATCCTCAGCCTCCCAAGTAGCTGAGACTACAGGCATGCACCACCATAGCCGGCTAATTTTTTATATATATATTAGTTGGCCAATTAATTTCTTTCTATTTTTATAGTAGAGACGGGGTCTCGCTCAGGCTGGTTTTGAACTCCTGACCTCAAGCAATCGGCCTGCCTCAGCCTCCCAGAGTGCTAGGATTACAGGCGTGAGCCACTGCCTGGCCCAGATATTTTCTTAATGATATTCATGGGCTTGTCTCAATCTCTCCCCATGTACCTTTCCCAGCTTATCCCTGCGATTCTTCATGAATCTCACCCTCACCTCCCCTGAATCCATTCTCTAACTGGAGGTATAGTTAACACCGTCCCTGTTCTCCTGTGGCCACCCTGAGTTACAAGCCATTGCCTGAATTCCTTGACTTTCTCACTTTACCTATGGAGGTAATCTTTCCGACTGTCGGTATTTCTCTTTCTACACGATAGCCTTCACATCCCCAATTTGTACCAAGGTCTACAGTAGGTCTCATAACATTCCTGTGTCTTAATTTTTTTATTTTATTTTGTTTTCTTGAGACAGAGTCTCACTCTGTTGCCCAGGCTAGAGTGCCGTGGCATCAGCCTAGCTCACAGCAACCTCAAACTTCTGGGCTCAAGGGATCCTCCTGCCTCAGCCTCCCCAGTAGCTGGGACTACAGGCATGCGCCACCATGCCCAGCTAATGTTTTCTATATATTTTTAGTTGGCCAATTAATTTCTTTCTATTTTTAGTAGAGACGGGGTCTCGCTCTTGCTCAGGCTGGTCTGGAACTCCTGAGCTCAAACGATCTGCCGGCCTCGGCCTCCCAGAGTGCTAGGATTATAGGTGTGAGCCACCGCGCCTGGCCTTATTCCTATGTCTTTACTTCTCTACAAGTCTGGTCTCCAGAGAGCTCCATTTTAAGAAGCTTTTAAGGGGATTCTTCCAGGGGACTTTCAGGGGACCACTGTACCCAATAGAAATGACTTCCCAGAAATAGTAACTAGAATGTGAGCTCCAGGCAGAGCCATCCTCAGCATTCACTAAGAGCCAGTATGAGAAATGGTCATGAGAAGGCCCCCCTTAAAGTTCTTTTTACAAAATTTATATGGTAACTCTCCCTTGGAGTACAAAGTGTAGAAAAGCTCACAGTTATTAATAGCCTGGTGTGATTTCAATTAAAAAATGACGGATATGTAATCCACTGTGTCGCTGTTTTATTTTGGCTACAAGAAGGCCCAGGATCACTATTCCTCCAGGTCTAGCTTTTATGATGTATGAAGGTAACTAACACCTACTTTGCAGAGTGGGGTTTAAGGAGCCAAGTATGGTGTCTGGCAAATTGGTTAACAAATACTTATTGAATGACTTCCACATATGCACTGATTGACTTCCATGTAGATCCTAGGGATAAAATTAACAGATCCCTGCCCTCCCGGAGCTCACTTTCTAGAGGGAAGGCCAGAAGACCAATAAGTAAAGAAATGCATGGACGATGGCCGACATACCACGGGGAGCCCTGTGGAGGAAACAGAGAAGGCATGTGGTGGAGGGCAGCTGGGTAAGAGGTAGCCCGCCTCAGCCAGTCAGAGAAGACTGCTGCGTGCAAGAGAAACACACATTGACGCTTCAAGGAAGAGAATGAGCTAGCCACAGCGAGAGGGAACCGAGCCGACACTTCAGATAGAAGGAACAGAACAGCCAGGCCCTGAGGTGGGAAACCACTTGGCAAGTTCTGAGGCCACTGAGGCTACAGCATAGTGGGCAGAGAGAATGGTGTGATAAGGTAAATAAAATAGACAATAGTATAGCTAATAATTACTGCTTTGCTCTAATGATCGCTTGTTTGACTTAGTGGTTTTATTATCCCTGGGCCTTTTATTATAAACAGTTTCAAATACTTTTGAAGTGGCCAATAGATAAAGAAGAAGGTGAATAAGGTCCTTAATTAGAAACAAGTTTAATAGCTAACATTTGTCAAGAGCCTACTGTGTGCTTTATTTGACTTAAACATTTAATTCTTCTAATAATCCTATATGGTAAATACTATCATGACTTCCTTTTTACCTATGAGGAAATGAGACACAGAGAGTTTAATAAACTCGCCAAAGCCAGGAATAAGTTTAAGAGCAGGATTTGAATCCCAGAGTCTGACTTCAAAGCCAGTGTTCTTAGACACATGACACAATGCTGCCTCTTCGGGTTACGTAGCTATTGTGAATCAGTTATTTGATGGTACACACAGGCCCTCCTTGAGTTTGTAATAGTTACTGCGCTTGCTAGAAGCAGGAAATATGTTTGGAATTCATGATCCATAATCTACTATCAGGGACTCACGTAGCTTCTAATTCTATTTATGATTGAGGAATAGGGTCTAATGTAGCATGAGAAAAACTTTCCCTCATAAGAAAAATAAGAACTCTAGTTAACATCTTAATAATTATTCTCAATTTATGGAACTTATCCCTTATTAAATCTTTATCTGTAATGTATTACATAGATGTTTATGTGGGTCAAAATATACCCAGCTTGCAAATAGCTAAGAGTTTGCCCTCCTGGGGATACCAACAATGTGTGTCAAGCAGACACAGTGAAGACGGATTTTATTATTTAAATAGTTCTGGTCAGAGAAGGTGAGCAGGCCGAACAGCGTAATGGCTGGTAAAAATCTTTTTTATAATAACTACTCATTTTCCAGCTGGAGTTCTGTTTCAATGTGTCATCTGTGATGTGACCAAAGCCTACCCAAGGCCATGGCCGTCATGCTCCCCGGCAGCATCTGCCATGGAGTCACTTACATTGCCATCGTGGTTTGGGCAAGAGAGAGGCTTTCCAGCAGCCACAGCGGTGACCGTCTCCAGGATGGAAGACTCCTCGATGTTGCTGCCTGGAGTTCGCTGCAGCACGTCCATCAGGTTTGTGATGAAGAAGTTGTTCTGGAGCGCGGCCACCCCTTTCTCGGGCAGGATGGAGGTCTGGCGGCACACCGGGCAGGAGAGGGTTAAACTGTGGGCGGGAATGTAGTTCTGCAGGCACCTGTGGCAGAGGCAGAGGTGGGAGGACAGTTTAGCATGGGGTGGCTCTTCTTGCAGGTATCATACATGTGTGTTCTCAGCAACTACCTGGGCTGCTTGGCAGAAACTCCTGTCGTAATCTCCTTTACTAGGAAAATAACATCCCAGAAACCAAGAGGTGACCTGTACTCACGCTGGCCCTGTCAACTGATCAGGCAAAGGATTATGCTCAAGGAAAAGAAAAATGTCAATGACTTTTGTCGTGTTTTCTAGAGCCTGGGCACACAAGGTGTGGTCCATGGACTGGCAGCACCGGCCTCCCTGGGGAGCTCATCTGGGAGAAATACAGACGCTTGGGCCCCATCCTGGACCTGCTGGATCAGATCACCATGCAGTTCCTACCTGCATTCAAGTTTGAGAAGCACTCGTCTACAATACCTAGTATTGGGCTCACACATTTGTGGACTTTTACTTTTGGAAGATAAGTCAAATATTTTTATTAGCATTGAAACTCTTTTTTTTTTTTGAGACAGAGTCTCGCTTTTGTTGCCTGGGCTAGGAGGTGAGTGCCATGGTGTCAGCCTAGCTCACAGCAACCTCAAACTCCTGGGTTAAGCAATCCTTCTGCCTCAGCCTCCCGAGTAGGTAGGACTATAGGCATGACCACCATGCCTGGCTAATTTTTTTTCACTATATTTTTAGTTGGCCAATTAATTTCTTTCTATTTATAGTAGAGACGAGGTCTTGCTCTTGCTCAGGCTGGTTTTGAACTCCTGACCTTGAGTGATCCGCCCACTTCGGCCTCCCAGAGTGCTAGGATTACAGGCGTGAGCACCGCGCCCAGCTGAAACACTTTTTACATACAAATATCATATAATATCATCATCAGATATTAAAAACACATCAAAGTAGAAATGTTTGCTTGAAACAGGGTTGGGACACCCAGAGTCAGAGCCACACTGTCTCTTTTCCTTGTTTCTCTACTCAAGAGGTATCAACTTAATTCACTTAATTAAAGGAATGTGTCACTAATAATGACTAACATATATGCTGCTCACTAAAGTACTTCCACTGAGACTATAAAGTAGGTACTGCTGTAATCTAGCACTCTGGGAGCCAAGTGGGGAGTTCGCTCAAGGTCCGGAGTTCAAAACCAGCCTGAGCAAGAACGAGACCTTCGTCTCTACTAAAATAGAAGAAATTAATTGGCAACATAACAAGTATATAGAAAAAAAATTAGCCAGGCATGGTGTTGGCATGCCTATAAGTCCCAGCTACTGGGGACGGCTGGAGCAGGGATTGCTACCGCTAAGAGTTTGAGGTTGCTGGAGCTCGGCTGATCACTGGCACTCTAGCCTGGCAAAAAAAAAAAAAAAAAAAAAAAA